GCTTCATAAAAACCTCATTCCAGACCAACAGTGAAACAACCAAAAATAAAAAATAATCATTTCCACTTGAGGGACATCTCAATATATTCACCCATAGGGTAAAGGCACCAGTAATTGCCACTGTACCAGTAGTTGCCATTTATTCTTTAGAAATTCAAAAACAAAACCATATGCAATATCTGTGCATATGGCGCACTCCCTTATAAGGAAGTGTATCTAGTGTACTATGTATTTAGAACAACTGTCACCAGGTGGCGCATTTTTCGACAGGAAAAAAATATTCAGGCAACTTGTTGAACCAGCTGTTTATAAAAGATTTCTTGTCACTTTGGTTAAGAAAGTGTAAGATTAGTTTTTCGTGATATTGGCATATGTTGTAAATCAATTTGAGTTTTGTTTGTGCAATAGGCATATATGCTAAGTAGTTTAAATGAAACGCATATAAATTGTTCGTTAAATTAAAAGAGTATTTTGATTTAGAGTAGTGGCAATTACTGGAGCATTTCTTTCTTTTAACCCAATATTTGCCATTTGTGATAATTACCTACTGGAGAATTTTGGATTATCGTACCTTTATTAAAGCTCTAAATTAACCTATAATATTTAGTTTATCCTTGACATTAATAAGAACATTATATTCAAAGAGAATCCAGTAATTTCCACCTCTTTTTGAATGTGTCAATTATTGGTTCACTTTAGTGGCAATTATTGATCCAGGTATAAAATCCAAATTGATCAACACGGAACCAAAAAACAAGCACTTTTTTCGCTATTTCCAAGAAAGCAAAGAATCTGCATTGGCTGCTTGCCAAGGTGCCATTTTCCATTTTTTTTGTTTTATATAATAAAATAAATTAGTGGCAATTACTGGCCAGGTACACTGGAAACTACTGGGTTTTTTTAAAATGGTCATGGCAATTACTAGTCCTTTGTACCTAAATAAAAAAAATATATATTGTACTTAGTGATGTCTTTAATTTTTAATGATTGGTAATATAGTGACTAGTAGTATCTATTAACCACATGGCTTTTTATTAAGACGAAATATAAATTTCTTCTGGTACTTTTTTAGCTATTTTGTGTAAACACTAGCTTATAATGGCAATTACTGGTGTCATTACCCTATACAATAATAAATTTACTTCTTTTACTAAGCAAATCCATTTAAATACTTGTAATTTTAAAGTGTACTGTTTAAAACAAACAATAGATAAAATTATATGGTTAAAATATGTTATTGCGTCCAGCCCCACCTGCTTTAAAAGGATACGCATTCCTTTCGTTAAAACATTACTAAATTAAAAACAATTTTGTAACAGCATTATTCACTTTTAGTGGGTCACGATTCTGCAGGTTCTAAAAAACACAATAACGTTTATAAACAAGATTTTAAAATAAAAGAAACATTATTAGTTAACCTGTTTTGTTAAAAGCAATGGAAAAATTATATATTAATTGGAAAATTTTAAATGTATTTTTTATGTAGTCTGAACTGAGACACAGTTTTTTTTATCTGTTATTATAATAACAGATACAAAATATATTAAAGATGTATACAAAATATGATTAAATACCACTTAACCTTTTAAAAAAAAACAATGTATTTTTAATTATAAAAACAATGTATTTCTTATTATAAAAATTAATACTTTTTACATATGTAACTGCTCTGACGACAAAAATTAATACCATCAGTATTCTTTTGGTAGCATTGTTAATTTATGCAACACCCATTTCATTTTTGAACTTTAACTGGTGGGTGAAAATTTTAATTTAAATTTGGAAAAAAGGAAGGTTAAATCTGCTTGACAGCTCGGCCATTTCAAGCGGACGGACGGGACAAATCACAAAACTGTAAAAAAAATTGTAGGTAATTTGTTATATATTATTTTTGCACCAAAATTGTCAAATATATTCTTCTTTTATTAGGGTATACATTAAATAAAAAAAATCGCAAGAAATGTTTTATAAAAGTAGAGATAATTTCAATAATTGACAGGTGTGGATGGGACAAGATAAATCTTGTTTAAAATATTAGTTTCTTTACTATACAGGGTGTTATGTAATTAATGTTATATATTAAAATACTGAATACCTTTTGACATAAGGAATAAAGGAAAAATATTTAAAAAAACATTTTTCCAAAGATAAAGAAAAAATATGCATTAGAAGTTTTTTATATTTTTTGTGATACGCCACTGGTTACACACTTGTTTATCTCTGCACACCTGTATTTTGTGAGTACATAGATACCAACCAACAAAGTAGCTATGCGTTGCCAGATGTAAAAAATTGTTACTAAAAATTTTTCTTGAAAAAAATAAATAAAAACTCAATAAATACAAAAGTTTTATGCCCTTAAAGCTCTAATACCCTTCTGTATTTATTTACTGATCCAGCTATTAGCTTAAGCAATGATTAGAAAATTTAGTACCTTTGAAATTTGAAATCCATAACCACAAAATTAATTTTTTCATCAGTTTTTTTCTCTGTTTACTCAGATAAAATTGGGACCAGTTCACAGGTTAAACTTTAAACATTTAATTTGTGTAAATAAATCCAAAAGCACTTCCCTTAGTTAAGATATTTACAATTTGAAAACATAACCTAAAATTTAAAAGAAATGCACTATATTCTGTCATAAAAGTTGGCAGATTTTGTTTGAATTTACCTTCAGTACAAAAATGAAATAACCAACAATTAATAAAAACGCCAAATTGACAATTTGCATTGTTAATTTTGTCATTTTTGTAATTAAGCTAAATTTAAACAATGTTTGTCAACTTTTTTGAGAGATTTTGGAAATACTGTTGTTACCAACCATAACATAATAAATCCACCAGATTAACCTAAAGTTCTTAGTCGATCAGTGGCGTACTTTTTGGTAGGATAAAGGTTATTATAAATTATTTTTAGACTTTGGAATTTAGAAAAAAAAAGTTTCTGGTGCTTCTTTATGGACCCTAAGTAACAACCCATTTTAATATATAACATTAATTACATAACACCCTGTATTTGTGAATAATTGTTACTATTAGTAACTTACTTATATTGAAAATTTAATTCTTATAAAATAATTTCATCGGGTTTAAAAGTAAATAATATATCCTATAGGAGAACTGAAAGGGGATAAACATAACTCTGGGGAGAGTGTATACACATATGTATATGATGACGCGTATACACATATGATGACGCGGATTGGGCCAGCTATGCATTCCTCATACTCTTTTTGCATTGGAGTTTATTTTAGTCCAGAAAATAAATGACATCTTCAAATGATACATATTAATAATTTAATATTTTTTATTATTTACTTAAACTTTTGTTAATGTTTGTGCTAGGAATTATTAAGGAAAATATAAATTTTTATATTGTTGGAATGTAAAATTGCAAACAGTAATTGCGAATACTGAAAAAATTAAGAAAGTCCACGTTAATTAAACTGGTGCTCAGTCTCATACAAATTGATGGAAAGTGTCGGTATTTATGCATGCTGAAAAAACGCAATTTAAAACCAAGTAGGTAGAGCATTATAAATGCAACCAAGTATTTCAACCTTTATCGTTTTATTTTGTTAACTTTCATAAAAAATATGTTTTTTGTGAACAAATAAATATCTCTTAAGAAACTACGGTATTTTCTAAAGCCCTGAGTTAAATAAATTCAAAATAATCATTAAAATCTCTCTTAAAATGAATTAGTCAAAAATAACTAATTATAAGTCATATTTGACTAATTGTCATATATAATAGCGAAAAAGCAGTCACTAATAATTAGTCAAATTCTACTGAACGAAATAGTCAAATTAGTATATTTAAATTTAAAAAAGTTTTGACCCAGCCGGGGATTGAACTCAGGTCTGTCGTTGTCATAACCAATGTGGCTATCATTTACTCTTATAAAAATCAATTTTATTTGTCAATAAATGTTGTTCCTAATATTTTAAAGTTGAATATATTATTTGTGATCCTGTTTTGAGCTAAACTTTTTGCATCTTTGTTTGTTTTATGGGCCATTTTTATATGCATTTAATTCAAATAATACTTTGTTGTTGGCCGCAAACGATTAAAGAAATTAGTTACTTTTAACTCTCAGAAATAATCAAAGATGGTGACTAATCTTAAATTAGTCAAACTTTATTTATTTACGTAGTAAAAAATAACTATTTAAAAGTGAAAACGACTATTTTATTAGTAAAAAATGCTGGTACTAATTCAAATGGTAGAATGTTGCCTATTTCATTTTAAGAGAGATAATAATGCTTTATACATAATAATAATGCTGTATACATCTTTAAAATAATACAGAAGCTTAAAAATAAGACATGTATATTATAAGATACGTCACAGAATATATAAACAAATATAAGTACCTAATAATAAAAGTTTCTATACAAAAAGGTACTGAGGGCCGGTTTATCAATGTCCAGTTAAAGTTGCAGTTGGAAATTATCTGCTAGATAACTATAGTTATCTAGCAGATAATTTCCAAGGATACCATACCAACATAACCTTAATAAAAATTTTTGTTGCAAAAAATAAATAAAAACTCAATAAATATTTATTTACTCATCCAGCTATTAGCTTTAGCAATGATTGGAAAATTTAGTACCTATTTTAAAAACTCCATAACCACAAAATAAATTTTTTCATCGTTTTTTTTTCTTTCGAGCACATAACCTAAATTTTGAAAGAAATGCACTAGATTCTGTCATAAAAGTTACCAGATATTGTTTAAATTTACCTTTATTACAAAAATGACATAATCAACAATTAAAAAAAGATAAACAGGGCTCCCACTCTAAATTTACTGTTTTTTTTATGATTTTATGACATTTTTTGTAAGATTTTATGACAAATTTTATGACATTTTTTTGTGAGAAAGAGATGTTTAAAATGGAAACAAATTAATTTAAAGGAGTTTATTAAACTCAGTTTATTAACTAAAAATAAAATACAAATTTGCTATACCTATGGCTTAAAAAATACTTCAGGTACACTTTGAACAAAAAAAATAAAAACACAGATACAGATACAATTTGTACTACCTTTGCTTTTTTGCCAGGTTTTTCAATAATTCATGCTTTTTAGTATTAATTTTCTCAATTTCGGATTTCGTGTTTCTCGCCTTTTCCAATCCCATGCTTATCATAGTTTGTGCCTCCATAACGTCTTTCTTTTGAAGTGACTTGTTTTGCGTGCTCACACATTTTTCAAGTTTTTTATTGCCTTCATCTATCAAATTATTGGCTATTTTCAGTTCCATTTCTTTGCTAATCAGGAATTTTTCCAAGTCTTCAAGCTCTGTATTTTGTTTGCGTTTTAATTTATCCCGCATCTTCTGGTCTTCTTTCTCTTTTTGCAACCTTGCCGTATTTATACGTTTTTCCTCTTCAAGTTTTTTTTTATTTTCTAAAACTAGTAGATATTTTGAGCGTGCATTTGCACACAAATTCAACAATTTTCTATTTATATTGAAATTTACAATTTCCTCTACAGACTTTATGGAATCCTTTACTATGCGAAGAGCCACAATAGTGTCTTCTTTGAGGGCATGTTTATCAGTCAAGATATTTTTGTTGATGCTAAAACCTCTTTCTGGAATAGCATTGCCATGACTTAAAGTTATAGCAGTTAACGAGAGGTATGCAAGCTGTTCATACTTGATGGCCCCTTCTGCATTTCTAAACGTTAGAACTTTGGTCCAGTAATGATCAATGCTCTTATATTTTTCAGCCACTTTATCATAGTACCATGACTCAGGAATCGTCTCATTTTGATATTTTATAAACTGTCCTTTTATTAAATCAGCAAAACTATTAACACTTAAATTAGACTTTAAGTGGAAACAGTGAACAAGATTTGCTTCCATGCAGGCCCCGATATTCAATGCAATCCTTTGGAATGCAGGACCTGCCTTTGAACTTGATCTGAATTCCGGGGCTGGATTTATATATTGTAAATCCTTTAGTAAAGTGCTATCCAGTGGTAATTTTTTGGACAAATAATCTGTAAACTTGACATAGCACTTTTTAAAATCAGTTCTCATTTTATATTCAGTTTGACCATCAATATTTGAGCTCGTAAATAATCTTTTTGCATTAACACCAATTTTCAGTTGATTGACATCTATGTGGTTCTTGTTTTGGTTGACATCAATTCCAGACATTGCTTTTGCGTCAGCTTTATGATCATCAGTTAGTTCTGATTTCTTTATAAATTTTGACATAAAGGTGCATAGTAATTCTGTCCAGGAACAATATAGCAAATGAATCCGTGGCTCAGTAGATTGAAAACGAATCAAGAAATCTATGCACTCGGCCATATATATAGCAAAAGAAATATAGATCTGAGATCTTGGGTCCTTTAAAACCCTTATTAATCTTTGGTAACGTTGAGTATTTTCCACTTGATTTTTGAAGTCTTTTTGTTTTGGTATGTCTTCTAAAAAATATTTTATTAAATTCTTCCACTGGTCCGCAATACGAGTCAAGACACCTTTTAAGCTGAGCCAGCGACTCGAGGTGTGCTTTAAAATATTCTCTACCTCCACACCAGTAAACGTAGAGGTTAAACTGTAGTCTGCTCTTCTGCCAGAGCTGTATTTAAAAAAAAATGGCAATCTTGGGCAAACTCGTCAAAATTGAAATCTACTTTTTCCAATCCATTTCTAAACGCTGTATGCATTTTATGGAGACTATAAGTACCTATATTAATTATTTTTTTGTTGTAATTATCTTTCAAGTCTTTTTCCAGTTTTTTATGAAATGACAAATTTACATTGGGCCCATCCATACTTATTTGCAGTAAGTAATTAACATCCAGTTTTACAATTTTAAAAATTTCAAACAAATGTACTCTGAGATCCTCGGATGTGCAATGACCCAAGTATAAAGAGTGAATATAGCCATTAACTACACCTTTTTTTTTAGAATAATATTGCACATAAGCGTCGTACTGTTTTTTTACTTGACTAGTAGTAGTTTCATCAAAAAAGAAAAGAAATGGGGTCTTCAGACAGTCTTCAATTAAACAATCCCTCAGAAATGGAGCGATGCCATACTGAATCAAATATTTAATTTTGGTTTCACACATTTTAAAATTAGTTGCAATCTCTGAATCTAAGAACATGGCTGCAAATAACTGATTGTTATTGTTATTGCTTTGAAATGAAAAATTTGAGTAGCAGCATTTGAGAGCCCATAATATTTCTGCCTTCACAGTCTTTTCTTCTCTGGTTAAAATAAAATTACCTCTTTCTAGCTCTACATTTCCATCACGATCTCGTTGAAATGTTCTCTGATTTCCCAAATTTAGTCGCAGGTTTGCATTGTTTATATGTGTAGTAATAATAATAATAATAATAATCTTTATTTCCAATCAAATTAAAATTACATTCATACATGCGTATAAAATAATAACATGAAACGAAATAGAGTCATAATAAGATTATATGTATATATAAAAACAAAAAATTCTATAATAAAAACTCTCTTAAAGAATATGGTTCCAAAGTTATTAACATCTCTTTGATTTTGGATTTATATGTCCTAAGACTTACAATAGTTTTTATATCGTTTGGTAACTTGTTGTACAGTTTGAGACACATATAACAGGGGCTCTTTTCTGTTAAGGTTAGCCTATGATTTGGGTAGTTTACATCTCTAGTCCGGGTATTGTATTGATGGTGAGTTTGTAATTCAAACATATTTTTATTTTTAAAAAAGAAAATTAGACATTCATATATGTACACTGCATAAACTGTTAAAATGTTTGAGGTTTTGAATATACCTCTACAGCTTTCTTCATGTTTTTTATTATCCTCAGTATTCTTTTTTGAGTTACAAATATTCTATCTATTAAGCTATTCCCTCCCCAGAAAATAATTCTATATTTAAAAACTGATTCAAAATTTGCATGGTACAAAATCTTTAAACTGGTCTCATTCATGTATTTGGAAATTACTCTAATACCATAACATATTGAATTAAGCCTCTGCACAGTTTGTATTATATGATTTGACCAATCCAAAAATTCGTCGATACTAACTCCAAGAAATTTAGTGTGATTTACAACTTCAACTTCAGTTTCATCAAGATTCACTATGTCTGGTCTTTCAATTCTTGCTAACTTTGTTCTAAAGATTAAAGAAGTTGTTTTGTTTTTATTTATGATTAGCTTGTTTTCTATAAACCAGTTACTAGCTCTACTAAAGAGAGAATCCCCTGCTGCTATTAAGCTATCAAGATTCTTGCAACTTGTAGTGAGGTTTGTGTCGTCGGCATAACATATTATTCCTTCTATTGGTGAAACTCTGATTGAACATAGGTCATTTAGAAAAATAACAAACAAAATTGGTCCCACTATACTTCCTTGAGCAATTCCCATATTACATTTGGCAAGATCCGAAAACCAGTTTTGACCTCCTTTTGATATTTTTACCTTTTGATCTCTATCTGTTACATATGATTCGAACAACTTTAAGGCATTTCCTCTAACACCATATAGCTCCAGCTTTCTCAATAATATTCTGTGGTCAATGCAATCATAGGCTTTGGATAAATCCAAGCACATGCCAAAAACAAGGTTTCCCTTTTCAATGTTGTTAAGGAGTGTTTTAATAAATTGAAAAATTGCAGTGTCAGTTGATTTGCCACGCAAATATCCATGTTGATGTTTGTTAAACAGATTACATTTATTCATATGTTCTATAAGTCTATGACACATTGCTAATTCAAATACTTTTGAAAAGGCTGGCAATAGACTTATTGGTCTGTAATTTTCAATTGAATTGTGGTCACCTTTTTTGAAAAGAGGTTTTACTAGAGACGTTTTTAATTGTTTAGGGAAGATGCCCTGTCTGAAAGAGTTGTTTATAATATAGCAAAGAATTTCTGTGATTACAGGTATAGTTTTTTTCATGATGCTTATTGGTAGTTCGTCAACTCCACTACTATGCTTATTTTTTACAGATTTTGCAAGTTTACCTATTTCTGTTGGAGTCACTGGTCTTAAAAACATTGACTGGTTATTTGATTCAATATTTATAGTCGTTGGTGTTGGATGCTTTAACTCTTTCAACAGACTGGGAACCACAGATAAGAAATACTCATTGAAGTCGTTTGCTATTTTTTCAGGATGTCCTTCAAGCTCGATGTCTGCATTTTTATTTGTTTCTCCGGATATTTCTCGGCATATGCTCCACATACACTTTGATTTATTGTCGGATGAAGTTAAACGTCTTTCATAGTTTTTTGACCTCACCACCCTTAACAAATTGTCATATTCTTTTTTTGTATTTTTATATTGATCTTTATACCTATTATCTACTCTTGAAAGTGTTAGCAAAATATCTAATTTATTTTTGCAGAATTTAATTTGTTGATTATCTATATTTTTATATTTTCTTGAGGTTTGCGTAATTGACCTGGTAGGAAAGCAATGATTAAAATTTGCTGTAAAAATATTTACAAAGGTATTCCATTGACTATTAACCTCTTTTTTGTTTATGTTGTATATTTCAAACCAGTCCTCCCCTTTCATTAAATCCAAAAATAATGATTTATTTTCATCTGAAAAAATCCTCCTTTGTTGTATAATATTTTTTTGGGCTAGTTTTAGTTTAATAGATATTTTTTGTGCGGTGTGGTCAGAGATAAACGTGTTTAAAACATTTGTCTGTACATAATCTATGTTTATGAAGATATTGTCTATACATGAGGCTGAATTGTGAGAGATTCTGGTGTTTTTAAAAATTGATTGTTTTAAACCAAAAGATTGTATCACTGATAGAAAATTAAGTTTATCTGCACTATCCTTCAACAAATCTATGTTAAAGTCGCCTGCGACCAGGACTATTTTGTGTTCAATGCACACAAGTTCCAACAGATGTTCTAAACTGCTTAAGAAATCGTTAATTTTACCTGATGGTGGTCTATATACACATATGATTACAAGTTTAGATTTTTCAAAATACCATTCCACAGCTGAATACTCAAATTCATTAGTCACCGAAAGTTTGGTAATAGTGTGTCTTGGTTGAAAACTGACACTTTTATGCACATACACTGCACATCCCCCATGTTGTCCTAATTGTCTGCAGAAACTTGCTCCCAATTTAAAGTTGTGTAAAGTTAGATATTTCAACTGATCCTCCGTTTTCCAATGCTCAGTAATGCACAAAATCTTACATTTTTCATGATCTTTCACCATGTCATTTAATCCATCAACAGAATTACCTAGTGACTGTACGTTTTGATGAATGATACTAATATCTTCTAGAACTGTTTTACATTTATTTTGATATGTTAGTTTTTTACCTTTTTTATTATCATATTTAATTGGTACTGATTGAACTTCTAAAAAAACTCCTCATTATAATTTATGTTATTTTTAAACCTCTCCAATCTTCTTCTGTATACTGGACAATCTTTATCTCTTGCCGAGTGGTTAGTATCTGACAGTTTCAATTTTTGGCAGTTTGGGCATATTAATACATTTGTCTTGCATTCTTTTGACGTATGTTGCTCTCCGCATTTGTAACAGCATTCTTTTTCTATGCAGTATTTTGCTACGTGTCCAAAACCTGCGCATTTAAAACACATTGCTAAGTTGATATGTTCTTGCACGTACACGGTTACTAAGTCAAAGAATACCTTCTGTTTTTTCAAAAACCACTTTGTGATGTTTGGTGGTGCTTGTAATATCCAGTTCTCTTTATTTTGGTTTCTGCATTGTTTCTTAGCTACCACTTTAATTTTATCACAAATACTGGTTTCTAATTCGTTAACAATATCATAATTTAATGTTTCCAGCTCTTTAATAAATTCTATATCTGAGAATCCTTTTTCAATTCCGGTTATCATGAACATAGGGTTTGAGATTACATTTTCTTTAAATTTAATGTTTTCTTTGTTACTTATTGCCATTTTTAATTGTTTTTGTTGTTCTGTGTCATAACTTTCCACTACCAAGGCTCCATCCTTTGTTTGTTTTATGGTTTTAAAGGCTTTTCCCATTTCTTTTATGTCAATTTGTTGCTTTAACGTTTTTATTGCTTCTTTGGAGTTAGTAACATTTTCAAATCTTATAATTGTTTCATGTTTTCTTGTTGTCTCTGGGGTCTTCCATTTTTCCGATATTATTTTTGATGCATTTGTATGCTGATCTCCGTTTTGGTTTTCATTTGCTATTTGGGCATATGTTTTTTTATTTTGACTGAGGTCTCTATCATTTGGTTTAGAAAGGGAATTTTCTTTATTCCTTTGACACATTCTTTGTTCTAGGATTATATTTTTCTTTTCCAGCTCGCTCACTTTAAAAACTAACACTGTTAGAGCTCTATGTATTGTGTCCCGCGCCTCTCTTACTGATTTTTGTTCACTTTGGGACAAATATGTTTTTTCGTCTTGTTCCTCTTTTCCAGTTATCAGTGCTATTTGATCTAATGCTGTAAATACATTGGTGATGAGTTCTTCCGAGGCTGCCGGCTTTATTCTCATATCTTCATTTTTTTAAGTCTCGATTTCAAAGTTCATTGTTCTTCCACACAATCTTTTATTAGACGTTTGTTCTTGTTCTGGGCTTGAGGCATCTGATCTTAGTCTTTTACTATTGTTTTCTTCAGAAGGATTTTCCATTATTAGATC